GGCTCTCATTAGTTACATAATGTCGGATAAACCCAAGTCTTTTTAAAATTCTGAGTAAAACCCATTATTTCTAAGTTTCATTTGATATAAACCAAATAATTAGGTTATATCCTAACCTTTACACCCTTTCAAACCCTGACTAGGGTTTGTTTTTATCTTATTTTATTTTGAATATTATTATTTTGATTTATTTATTTAAAAAAAATAATTTCAAAAAAGTTAATTTTTTTAAATTTCTTTATTTTTTTGCTTTTTCTTTTTCTTCAGCGATGGCCTGGGTAGTCGGAGCCCTGGTTATGACTCAACATTAGTTAACATAAATTAGTTGGCATTCATTTTTTTTTTCTTTTTTTCTTTTTTTTTTTTTTTTTTCCGGCAGCGGGTCATCAAAGCTCTGGTTAGCTGACTCGTCTAGTTAACTTCAATTAGTTGACATTCATTTTTTCTTCTTTTATATATACTAGCATTTTTTCCCATTCGATGCACGAGATATTATTTCAAAAATGAAAAAAAAAATTTAATATATAATAAGAAAATATAGTACATTAACATAGTAAAATTTAATAATGTAGTATTACTCATATTTTATATAACATTATTTTTTTTAAATCTTACATATTAACATTTATAATCCAAATATATAGGTTTAGATTAAACAAATCGAATTTCTTATATATTAAGATTTGAGATATATTGATGAAAAATAGGAGATTGATAATTTTTGAAAATCACCAAAAAAATATTAAAAATAAATAATTACAAAACTACCATTAGCGTTTTTAGGGTTGCCCATCGTTTCTTTCTTTTATATATAAGATACTTTATTTATTTTTCTTTTTTCGACGGCGGGTCGTCGGAGCTCTAGTTAGGGTGACTCAAGATTTGTTAATTTCAATTAGTTGTCATGTATTGTTTTTCTCTTTTATCTTTATATTTATTTTAAATTTTCTTTCTTGCAGCGGGTCGTTGGAGCTCCGGGTAGCCGACTCATCATTAGCTAACCTCAACATTAGTTGACATTCCATTTTTTTTTCTCTTTTTTCTTTTCTTTTTCATTTTTTTTTCCGACGGCGGATTGTTGGAGCTATTGTTAGCTGAATCAACATTAGTTAACTTCAACATCAGTTGACATTTGACATTTTTTTTTACTTTTAATATGTTTATGGTGGTGGGTTGTCGGAGCTTCGGTTAGGTGACTCAATGTTAGTTAACTCCAACATTATTTAACTTTAATATTTGTAGACACTAATTTAAAAAATAAAAATAAAAAAACTAATTAAAAAAAAAGAATATCTACCAATGTTAAAGTCAACTACTGTTGAGTCAGCTAATCGGAGCTCCAACAACTTACCAATAGAAAAAAAAATTAAAAGAACAAAAAATTAAAAAAAGAAAAAAAAAATGTATTGTTTAAAGTTGACTAATGTTGAAGTTTACTAATGCTGAGTCAGCTAACTGGAGCTCCGACGACCAGCAGCAGAAAAAAAAGAAGAAAATTAACATTTTTTTCTAAAAAAAAAGAAGAAAAAACAAACGATTTCTACGGATGTTAAATTTAATTAATTTTAAAGTTAACTAACGTTGAGTCAGCTAATCAGAGCTCCGACAACCCATCACTGCAAAAAAAAAGAAAAAGAAAAAAAAGAAAAAAAAAAGAAAAAGATATGAAGAAAAAAAAAAGAAAAAGAAAAAAAGAAAAAGAAAAAAAGAAAAAAAGAAAAAAAATAGATTGTTATAGTTAATTAATTGAAGATAAGTAATGCTGAGTTAGCTAACCAAAGCTCCGACGACCCACCACCAGAAAAAAATAAAATTAAAAAAAAAATAATTAAAAAATGGATTGTTTAAAGTTAATTAATTGAAGTTAACTAATATTGAGTCAGCTAACTGGAACTCCGACGGCCGATGCCGGAGAAAAAAAAAATTGATCGGGTCGGACCAACCTGGTGGGCGGATGGGATGGGATGGGGGTGGATTGAGCTTATCTCAAATAGAAACCTATAGGGCTATTTTAGGAATTAATGTTTTTATGGGTTTATTAAAAATGAAAGTTAAAGGGTGGATCTATTTGTAGTGAAATTTGGATTTGTGGATCTATGTCAAATTCGCTCTTATTTTTTACTTGTTGACTTATGAAATTTAAGTAGAAGTACCAAATCAATTTTTAATTTTTAAAATTTATGTTTTAAGGTATAAATGTTTTATTTTCATTATTTTTTCTATTTTATTGTTGATATTAGAAGCAGTATGTTGATATTTAATGATGAATATACTTTTAGAATGTGTAACTATATAAATTAAAATTAATTTAGAATTATATATTAACTAAAAATTAAAAAAATAAAAAAATCGGTTGATCTGGTCCAATCTTGACCCACGTAACTCTTCGGTTCTATGTTAGGTCCGGTTTTGAAAACATTGGTTTAATCCTTAGAGACTTGGCCCGACAACTTATATCCAAGATGTCGAAACCCATAACAAAAATGGCTAAATTCTCGTTGATTTTCTGTTGGAAGCACTTTTAAGGCAGCACGACCCATTACTAGACGAAGATCTGTTTCTGTGATTCGGGTAGGGCCAACGAAATTTTGATTCAGTGCAACGGGGAAGAAGACGGAGGGGTGCAACATCTGCATAATATAATTTAGTGTTGTAGTGTTGCATGTGTGTATTAATAAGAAGATGGTGGTAAGGTGGAGAGATTGAAATGGAATTAAGGGGGAATCAAGGATTTTCTTGGATGGTTTACTTGTAAACAAAAGGGTTTTCTTTGAAACACTTAAGAGGGAAGAAACCCCAATTGGAAGAACAAGACCCATATTTTTATTTTAATAAGTTTTTAAGAGGGGCAAGTTCCAAATCTAGTTCAATTGAGTCCTAAGAATTTTTTAATTTTTGCCACATATATATGATACTGTAGACGAAAAAAATAATTAATTAGTTAATCAAATTAATTAATTAAATTGTATCTAAATTAAATTATGTTTTGTCTTGGAGATAATTATCAATTAATTATTGTCAGTATGATTATTTCTTCTTTTTCAAGACATTGATATGGAGCTAAACTCCATCCATAGTTCAAAGACAATAGATTTGATTGGTACATTGATATGGAGTTAAACTTCATTCATAGTTGGAAGCACTTTGAGAAAGAATTTCTCAATCGCTTTTCTAGCACTCAAAGAACAGTCAGCATGATTGAGCTCACAAATTCCTGTTAGTGGAAGAAGGAACCAGTCATCGACTGCATCAACCGTTGGATAAATTTAAGCCTTGATTGAAAAGATCGACAGCGTGAGACATCGAATATTGAACTGTGCATCCAAGGAATGCAATGGGGACTCCGATATATTGTTGGTTGCAATACCTACACGCAAGTCCACGTATCGTACAAGTAATATAGTGGACAATGAAGTCCGGATATCGAACCCACACATAATATTTAATGACTTAATCCTAACAATTATTATCAAGCTCACCCTACACAGTGGAATTTGGAAAAGATTTACTAAATTGAACTAAATTACAAAGCAAGCAAAAACAAGAAAGCAATGTAAGAACGAAGATTTAATCAGAGAAAACGAGCCTATGATTTTATTCTCCCCCTATATGATTATTATTCCCCCAATTGCTTCAATTATGCAAGTAATTAACCCAGATTATTAACCTGAGATGCTAAATTAATCATAACCCGCTTCCGCGTGTATTACGATTCTAATACTCTAGATTCAATTACTGTATTCCTACGGAATTAATTCTACAACACAACATTAAGCACAAAGCTCAATAATGGCTACCTAAGAGATTAACTATATTCCTATGTTAATACCACAACAACTCTTCTACCACAATTCTAATTATTAACCCGATCTTCCGATTCATGCGATTAACAATAACATAAAAGCACACACTAGGCCAAAACAGCTCACTTGCGAGGTTTTTTTTGGCGACGATTCCGGAATCGTCGCTAGTTTGCGACCATTTTGACTAAAAAACGTCGCAAGATATCGGAAAATAAGATTTCGATGGAATATCTCGCGACGATACAGTAATCGTCGCCAGTATGCGACTAATGTCAATAAAACGTCGCAAAGGGAAAAAAAATAATAATAAAGCACTCTCGTAGCGACGTTTTTATATAACCGACGCATGAAAAATATTTTTTGCAATTTATTTTTTTACCTTCGCGACGAATATGACGTATACGTCGCTAGTGCAATTGTGAAAAAACAAATTATTGGGTTGGCGACGAATAAGGATAAACGTAGCGTAATAAAGAGGAAATATTAAATAATATTTATTCTTAGCGACGAAAATAGTGTATTCGTCGCAAGTAAAATACTTTGTTAAAAGAATTATAATTATTATTTGCGACGATAGTGTATTAATCGTCGCCAAAATAATTATAGAAAAAATTCTCGCTTTTCTAGAGCGACGTTTCCTACAGAAACGTCGCAAGTCTATTTAATTTTTTTTTTGGTTTGCGACGAAAGCGCTTAAAACGTCGCTACGAGATTCGTTTCAATCTGACTTGGCGACGATTTGTTAGGAATCGTCGCAAAAAATTGAATTAGAAGGCAGACCCTAATCCCCTTTTTCCCATTTTCTCCGATTTTCTTCTCGTTTCTCTCTCTCTTTCAATCTTCCCCTCCGCCGGCGCCCCCCCTCCGCCGGGTCCTCCCCCTCCGCCTCCGCTGCCGCTGCTCTCCGCCGTCCGCCGCTGCTCTCCTCCGCCCATCTCTCCGCCGCTGCTCTCCACCGTCAGCCCATCTCTCCGCCGCTGCTCTCCGCCGTCCGCCCATCTCTCCGCCGTCCGCCGCTGCTCTCCGCCGTCCGTCACTGCTTTCCTCTGAATTCTCATCCAAATCCAAGCCAACTGTCAAAGTAAGCATTTCACACACACACACACACACACAAGCATGAAATTATGATTATCTATTAATTAATAATATTAAATAAATATGAAAAAAATGCAGAGAAGAGCAAATAAAAATAATAAAAAGGAGCAAGGATTAGCTAAATCAAGAGCAGCAATTAGAAAAGCAGCTTCTAATTTGCCGTCATCCCGCCGCGTGCTGTCGATCTGTTGCCGTCGCCAGCCGTTGCCGTCGCCGACAGCCGTCCGCCGACAGCCCTTCTTTCAAGGTAATTTTCCTTTTTTTTAAATCTTTGTTTGTTTATGTTGAAAAGCTTGTATGTGTTTGATTATTGCGAACTATTTTTGGGTTTTTTCTCGGAATTATGTGTTTGTTTGTTTTATGTTGATTTGATGAGCCTGTGTTGCTCGGAATTATTGTTGCTCGGAATTATGCGAACTGTTCTTGGGTTTTATGTTGCTCGGAATTATGTGGTTGCTCGGAATTATGTGTTTGTGAGTCTGTTGTGTGCTTTGGTGAGTATGTTGTGTGTTTTGGTTATTTCATGTTTCTTTCTGCAGTTTGGCTACTGTGTCGGTGATCAATTTTTCCTTTTTCTTTATTTTTTTTTTATTTTTTTATTTTTTTATTTTTTAATCCTTTCTTTGGTTTTTTTTTGGGAAAATTCCGAAAAAATTCCGAAAATTTCCGAAAAAATTCCAAAAATTTCCGAAAAAATTCCGAAACATTCCGAAAATGAAGATTTCCGAAAAATTCCGATTTTTCGAAAATTCCGAAAAAATTGGAATCGGAATCAATTCTTGAATTCCGAAAAAATCGAAATCGGAATTGGAAGGCGTTTTGGACATCCGAAAAAAATCGGAAATTTGCCGAAACACCCAAATCCGATACGATCCGTCCGATTTCCACTCTTAATTATGACTATAAAATATATAAATAAATAAAAAAAACCTTTTCGAAAAAATATTGAAAAATTGCTTTAAATTAGGGTAAATTACAATCACACCCTAAGGTAAAGCTAAATTTTGAAAAAAATCATAATATTTGGGTAATTAAAACAATCCCTCGACTACGTATTGTCTTTGTTCACTCTTACGGAGTCAAATTTACTTACTAATGAGGGGGGATTTTTGAAAATTGAAAATTGATGTCAATTAAAAATTGAAAGCTTTCCCGTTGCGACTACCACCTTAATTTAGTTTTAGTTTATGAACTTAACTTTGAGAATAATTGTGATTTTAATAATTGTGACCCTTCCCAATTTCTAGGTAATCTTGTTAATTAAAGCATGCCAAAAGATAGGAGTTGAGTTTTATTAGATGATCGTCGGTTAGAAGTATATCAAAATGGTTGTGTGGAATTTATGGACTTTGCCTTCGCTAAATGTGACGTTGATAATAAAATAAGATGCCCATGTAGAGACTGTAAGTGTCGTAAATGGGGGGGATCGTGAATTCGTTCATAAACATTTACTTTGGAGGGGTAGGGATAAACTGTATGGGCAACGCTGATGGACTCTGCATGGAGAGTCCGAAGAACAATACATTGGCGAGGAAATGAACAATACTAATCATACAGAAATTCCCGAAGTTGCAATTTTAAATGAACCTGTTGATGTACGTGATAATATGGAAGACTTACTGCATGCGTGTCTTCATCACGATCATTATCACGATCAAGAAGATCTGCACGAAGAACCCAACTCCGAAACTGATGATTTTCGTAAACTCATTGAAGAGTGGTGCATCCCCGTTTATGATGGATGCCGGGTATATACTAAACTTTCTTTTATCATGGAGTTCTACAAAATTAAGTCTCGTGGCAAGATGAGTGATAATACATTTACTGAAACCCTTCAGTTAATGAGAAAACTTGATTTTTTAAATATACCCGACTCTTTTTATGACGTTAAGAAGCTCATCAGTAAATTGGGGTGTGGTTACGTCAAGATTGATGCGTGTGAGAATGACTGCATGCTGTTTAGGAAGGATGACTTCAACTTAAATGCATGCAAAGTGTGTAATGCTTCAAGATGGAAGAATCCAGTAGAAAACCAACCGAGTTCTTCAACCTCTCAGCGCAAAAGGGTACCGAAAAAAGTTTTGCGACACTTTCCATTCCGAGGCTCAAGCGGCTATTTATATGTCATAAATCAACAATCAACATGAGATGGCACGCTAAGTCTCGATGTAACGGTGGCGTTCTCAGGCACCCTGCTGATTCTGATGCATGGAAAGAGTTTGACAAGAAGCACGAGTCATTCTCTTTGGACCCTCGAAATGTAAGGCTTGGCTTGGCTACAGACGGTTTTAATCCATTTGGATCGTTGAGTAGCAAGCATAGCACATGGCCGGTAATTCTAATGATTTACAATTTACCACCAAATATGTGCATGCAACGTTCTCATATGATGATGTCATTGCTTATTTCTTGTCCAAAAGCCCCGAAAAATGGGATTGATGTTTATTTATAACCCCTGATCGATGAGCTTAATGAGTTGTGGGTCTCTGGAATAACAACTTTTGATGCGTCCACCAGACATTACTTTAATTTGCGAGCGGCACTTTTGTGGACTATCAATGACTTCCCAGCACTTGGTAACTTATCGAGGTGGAGCACTAGTGGCTATCTTGCTTGCCCTAGTTGTGCTGAAAACACTGTGTCCGAACGTTTGTACAAGTCAAATAAACAATGCTATATGGGTCATAGTCGTTTTTCTGAAGAAGGGGCTCCACCCCCACCTTCAGGAGATGAGGTGTTATCAAAAACGGAGGGAATCAATGTTACTTTTGGCGTCGGCCAAGTGGTGCTTCGAGATTCACAATGGAGAAAGAGGAGTATCTTCTTCGAATTGCCGTATTGGAAAGATAATCTCATACGACACAATCTTGATGTCATGCACATTGAGAAGAATGTTGGAGAATTATTGCTTATGTGGTTATTAAATATTCTTGGCAAAAATGACGGTTTCGACAATGCTAAGGAGGACATTGGAAAAATTAAAAAGCCACCGTCGGGCAAGTCCGGTCCTCGATTTCCCAACCTCGTTCCAAAATTAGGAAAGTATCACAAATTGTCTGCCCAATCAAAAAAGGCAGTTTGTGATGTTATAGCAAATGTTAAAGTTCCTAACGGCTATGCATCTAATATAGCCCGTTGTTTTGGTGAAGACAAAGTAGGGGGATTAAAGAGCCATGACTACCACGTGTTAATGCAACAGTTCCTTCCATTGGCAATTCGCAATGTGGGGTTACCAAAAAAATTGGCAAGTACAATAATCCAATTGTGCAGTTTTTTCCGAGAATTGTGTTCAAAAAACAAACTCAGCTGAAGATTTTCGAAAACTGCACTATGACATTGTAAAAATCTTGTGTGATCTTGAGAAATTGTTTCCCCCGACGTTCTTTGTTGTTATGATGCATTTGCCGGTTCATCTAGCTCATGAAGCAATGGTTGCCGGACCGGTCAATTATCGATGGATGTATCCGATAGAGAGGTATTTATAATTTTTTAAATGTTAATGCATTTTCTAATAATTTATAATTTATTAAATGTTTTATAAAAAAAATTCTACCTCAGATACTTGGGTCACTTGAAGTCATTTGTTCGGAATAAAAAGTTTCCCGAAGGTTCGATTGCTGAATGCTACATCACTGAGGAGTGCTTAAATTTTTGCTCATTGTACACAGAAAATTCATCTATGAATATTTGTGACAATGACAAACAAGGCAATGAAGTGCGACCTAAGTACAGAACGCTTAGTTATGATGAAATGGAAAAGGTGCACACCTATTGTCTTTTTAACTCAGATGAAGTTCAACCTTACATTGAGTAAGTCACTTGCTAATATTTTGAGTTACTACTATCTTCAATTGATTTCCACTTAAAAAATTACACAAATCCTTTTAGGGAGCATTTCGAGACCATTAAAAATAAAATCTCGACAAGTGACCATGCATACCAATGGCGCATTCAGCAATTACAAGAAAAAGAATTTCGTCATTGGTTTCAATCCTATGTAAGTGTTTGATTTGACTTGAACTTCCTTTGGAAATTGTTTTGAACAAAGTAGTAATAATTAATTGTTTAGAGTGAAGACTTTAAAGAGATTTGAAGTGCAAGGATTTATGTTCCGCACAAAATCATCTGAAGAGTCTCTTTTAACTCATAATAGTGGAGTTTTTGTCAAAACAAAGACTACTAGTTTCGCAAGCTCAAAGGATAAATCTCCGAAAGAAGAAGATGTAGGGTACTACGGCGTAATAAAAGACATCATTGAACTTTCATTCGCTGTAGGTACAAAAAATGTGGTTTTGTTCGAGTGTGATTGGGCTAATATTCGCACGAATAAGACGGATGGTTTGGGATTTACACTTGTGAACTTAACAAAACCAGATATAAAAACAAGTCCTTTTGTTATGCCATGTCAAGTATTGCAAGCATTCTACGTTGAGGATCCGCAAGATAAACTATGGATGGTTCCTATTGTTATTAAACCAAGGGACAACTTTGCCTTGAGTCCTGATGATCCTACTGCAGTTGAAGATGAATGCTATGAGATACTTCCTATAAACCATGACATAAATATTATAGATGATATGGAAGAGTGAGGGATTATTTTGTTGATCAAATGTTAGTTGATTGTAATTTACTTGTAATATACTTTTGTTTATGTGATCATTTTATTTTTTTATTATAATTTACTTGTTATATAAATTATGTCATATTTATTGCCATATATCATGCATGTCATAAGTATTGTGTTCATTTTATTTTTTTCTATGTATATCTTATTTCTTTTCTCAGGCGAGCGATGTCGGAGGAAGATATTTATGTTGATCATATAGGTACCGAGTCTACAGGTACTGACGTGGTTGATTTGGAGTTTGACGACAAGGGTATTCCCGTTGCACCTGGGAGGTACAAGTTGGCGGTGGCTATTAGTAACGAGGTTACGCATTGGGATAATTTTGATCCATGTATTTCTTGGCCTAACCACAAAAAAATGGGCCATGTCGAGGGATTGTGGAAAGCGTTTAAGGTATTTGTATGTAATTTTTATTTTATTTAAGTTATTTAATTTTTTGTTTCATTTCAATTGTATATTTTTTATATTTTATTTAGGAAACTTGGAAACTTCCTGAAAATGAGGCTACAAAAAAATGGTTCAATGAGACTGCTAACGGTCGTTGGAAAGATGCGAAAACTAAACGATTGAAGACGGTCTTTGATAGAGCTCCAGACCTTGCCACGCCTAAGGCAAATTGTCCAAATAGGATTAGTGTTCAAACTTGGGAGAAACTATGTGATCAATTTCATTCTATTTCCACTCCTGGTGTTGATGGGAAGGTAAATTATATATATTTAATTTATGGATCATGTTTAAATATATTAAAGAGTTTTAATTTTTTGTGTTATTGTTCACAGTCCAAATCAACCAAATGCGAGGACTCACGAAAGAAAGTCTCGACAGACCACCATTGGGGTCGAACAAGTATCAATAGTTGGTCCCACAATCATGTAAGTAATTTGATCTATAATTTTAATTTATTTAAGTTTAAAATAGATACTTACTTTATAATATTTTAATATAGTTTAAAAAATTGGGCAAAAATCCTACGGTGTTTGATACGTATAAGAAAGCATATATGGGTATTGATGTACTGAGGGAAACCGGGCCAACTATTAGTGAGGAAGGAGATACAGAAGAACCGTATAATGGGATAGCAACTCCTGAACAACTTCGCATTTCGGTAAGTGTAATGCAATTTTATTCTTCAATTGGTTGTATGTTAATTATTTATGTTTATTGTTGTCGCATGTTTGTCATATGTAAATTATTTGATATGTTAAATTAGTACGTAGTTGAGATATGTGGATATGAATATTTGTTTTAAATAATGTTAAGTTGTTGTATATATGGATGGTTTTTTTGGGGATGTTCATTTATTAGTTGTTATGCTGTCGAAATTTTTGCTAAACAAGTGTACTTAATCATTTTCAGGCTGATTTGGAACGAGTGTACGATGAGACAATTCGTGATGGAAGTGACGAAAGCACGGCCAATTCAATTGCGATAGAAAAAGTGCTCGGAAAAAGCAAAGGGCTTGGAATTAAGATTGCAACCATCACAAAGAGTTCAAAGTCGAGATTTTCTTCAATTCCGCCGGAAGTGCAAATGGAAATGAATTCAATGAAAGAGCAAATGCAACTTAAAGATGAAAAAATGGAAAGATTGGAAGCGGAATTGAAAGAAACTCGAGAAATTGTGAACACCTTGGTCGGCCGTTTTGGACTACAAGCCTCGACATCGACTCCTTCCAATGATGGTGGAGTATAAAAAGGGATGAACTTTGTTTGGTTTTTGAATTAAAGTTTGAAACACTACATTATATGCTTTTAAGTTTTTATGTACTTTATTAATTTATGTTTTGTGCTACCTTGATATTTAATCCGTATAATTGGTTTTAATATTTTCGATATAAGTGTATTTTTTTTGTACAACTGCTGAATACAGGTTGAATTTGTTAATTGAAAAAATAAATAAACCGAAAATTATATTAAAAAAAAAACCTAGCGACAAATAAATAAAACAAATCGTCGCAAATAAATCGTGGGCCTTGCGACGAAAACGGCTATTAGTCGCAAACATTTTTCGCCAACGTAGCGACGAAACCGTAAAAAACGTCGCTTAATATAGCGACGAAAAGATAATTCGTCGCAAAAGTTTGCGACTTATTATTTGTTCGTCGCAACTGGTAAGCGACGAAAGTATAGGATCCTTCGCGAATATTAAAAAAACATTTTTTTTCCAGAAAATACGAATGTTGCGACGATTTATGAAATTCGTCGCCAAACTTTGCGTCGCAAATGACTTTTCGTCGCCGACCTTGCGACGGGACGTTTGGCGACGTTTTGTGTAGGATTTGGCGACGACAAAAATTCGTCGCAAACAGTAAAAAATCGTCGCCAAATATACATTTTCGTCGCCAAATTTCGTCGCTAGTCGACCATTTTGCCCTAGTGACATAAGGTGATCAAGTTCATGCAGTTTAATAAAACAAGTAGAAGAAATAATCCGAAATTCAAACATGCATAAAATCATAGAAAAGGGTTCATAAATCCCACATAGGGTTCCAAATAAATTCCTGAAATAAGAAAATTAGCTACTCATTATTAAAGTAAAAACGCAAATTAAATAAGTCATAAACGATAAATCTATGCTTGGAGTCTTAGAATTCTTTGTCTTCGTTATTGCTTTGTTGCACTTGAAATTGCGTAAAAGATGGATCTTCAATTGTGTTCTTGGCTTGGTCTTATATATGGTGGATAATTTGGAGAAGAAGGTAGTTTCCTTGTGCAATTAGGATTCTTGTACAGCGCCTTTGCGTAATCTCGGACGACCGTCCCGAATTTCGCACTAAAACTCGGATGGCCGTCTCAAAGCCAAGGACTGCTTCTGCTTCTCAGACGACCATCCCAGTTTTAAGTGTATTTCTGGGACGGCCGTCCCGGGCTATATTTCTTTAGATTTTTTATTTCTTCACTTTTGGCCCATATTTTCTCCAAAATTGCAGTTTTTACCCCATACTTTTCCAATTCTTCAATTTGTACTTAAAATACAATAAATCAACTTTTTAAGCACCAATTATCGTTAAAACACACCAAAAGCTCCAATTAAAAGGTACAATTAAGTGTAAAAATATACACTCAACACACCCCCAAACTTGAACTTTTGCTTGTCCTCAAGTAAAATCTACTCATAAGCAAATAACTCAACTACTACATCTCATTACATAGATCAATGGTCAACTTCACGTTTTCAGAACTTGTACTTATAATGACAATTCTTAGGCATTCGCAAGCTCAAAATTCAACCACACTTAGTCACTCACCATTACAAAAAACCACAAACCATACAATTGCTTCAAGCATCCAATATTTGCAAATTAAAGATAGAAAGAATTTATACTTACATGCATACGTTTGACTCAAAATACTCACCAAATTATTCTACTCTACTAATATCGAAGATTAAGCTATTGGGATCATTGGGGCTTTGTGGCTTTCAATTGTTAGGCTCTTTGGTTCGAGGTAGGAAATATGGGTATATGTGGCTATTCTTCTTGAATTGAGGTGATTACGCCAAAATTTTAAAGATAGGCGTTTGAAACAATGAATTCACCTCTAAGGACTTTAATAAATTCGATTATCAAAAGTTCAAAAGTCTCCACTTTTGCTTTTGAGGCAATGGATCGAGCTTTCAAAATAATTCAACAACTAGTCCTTACTTCTTCCTTCTAGTCTCTTCTTCTTCTTTTTCTCTTTTTATTTTTTTATTTTTTTAATATATATATCTTCTTTTTTTTCGAAGAAGAAGAAGGACTTTATAAAAAATTTCGACCGAACTCCAATGGGTAATTTTTCTAGAATCACCACTTTTCTACCTTATACACATTGGCTAAAAGAAAGAACACCTTTTCTCCAAGGCTCAAATCAAGGTTTTAAGGACAATTTCAATAAAAATGTCTGCTTGAAAGGCTCAAACGGTTCAAAGAAGGCCCAAATCACTCTCTACTCAATACTTCGTATTATAATTTTCCTAAGGTGAGTTTTAAAACCGAACATAACATGATCTAGCACAAATTAATTTCAAATTTAAAATACAAAACATTCAACCAAAGCAATGCACAAAGTGTGATTCCTAGCAATAATTCGCTTCTAAGTTCCGTTGAATCGAAAGCTAAACAAACATCTAATCCTTCTCAGACAAAACAAGGAATTTCATCATCAAACATTGATCATCTCTCATCATCATAATTCATAAATGTATTCGACCCAAGCAAAAAAATATTCTCTTTTATTTTTTTTTATTCCGGAAAAAACGATAAAAAATAAATAAAAATAAATAAAAACCTAATGCATGCAAACTAAGACAAATAAGCACAAAAACATGTTTTTCACCCCCAAACTTAAATTTTTTGTTGCCCTCAACGAAATTATCACAAAGTTTAAGGATAGTAAACATCTGATTTAGTTGGAATTGTCGTCATCGGGGTATGAGAATTGGCGGGAAAGAAATCTAAAGTTCCTCTTGCGAAGATGCCCTCTCTGTCTCTCGGATAACCGTCCCGATCGCAATTCCGACCTTCAAAATAAGAAATCAAATAAATTAATTAGAATGCATGCCTATGAAAATAAAAATAAAACATAAAATTAAAGAAAAATATGAAAAACAGTAAAGCTCGGGTTGCCTCCCGAGAAGCGCTAAGTTTAAAGTCTTCAGCCGGACGTTGCTTCTTTATTTTCAAGCAAAAGTGACCGAAGTCACTTGGAAATCTTCACTCGCTTCCCAATACGGTTTGAGCCGGCTCCGTTTCACGTTGAACGTACGATTTGAATCTCGATCCTTTTGTCTTGACTACCTCATGAGGAAGAATTTATTGGACAATAAATGGCGCCGACCACTTTGATTTGCGCTTCCTTGGGAATAACCAAAGCCGGGATTTGCACAATAACACCAATTTTCTTTTGTGCAATGTCTTTTTAACTTTATCTTTACGACCCCAATAGCTTGATTCTTCCCTCTCTCGTGGATTGCTCGATTCTTTGGGTGGTAACATGCTTCTTGCACTTTCATTGTCGTTAGGATCCCAACGCTTATGACTTTCTCTTGGAGGAGTTGAAATTCAGTCCATAAAGTAAACTTGCTCCTTCTGACTCCCGTTTCCGCCACCATCTCCTACACTCAAAGATGCTTTCCCATGCATTGTCCAAGTTCAACACAACAAAATTTTCATGATTTGTAAAATCCATAAGCTCAATAGCATAACAATCATTATTATCACATGAATTTTTATTAGCACTAAAAACATTGACTTTGATTGTTTGATCATGAACAATCATTGTAAGATCACCACTAGCACAATCCATTAGCATTTTCGATGTGGCTAAAAACAGTCTCCCTACGATTGTTGGGTTTCGGGCACGTGTACGCAGCGGAAAACAAAAATTTTGTGCGATTTAAACGACTTTAAAGCACATAAGAACATGCCCGATAAATTAAATTCAATTAATTGCGTACCTTTGCGCTTCCAGCGAAATTAAAAACAATTCACATACTAATAATTTCAGCCGAATTAAAAACAATTAACATGCTCGCGTTTAAACCAAATAACATGCTTGCAATGATTTAATCGATTACACATAATCACATAAAATCATACAAAGCAAAACATGAAATCATACATTTAAACGAAACTCAAAACGAAACTAGGGTTTCGTGTGTTTACCTCTTGAAGCGTGAGGTAGGGGCGATTAATACGTCGTGATTACCACGGAAACCAATCCGTGGAATCGGGGCAGCAGCAGTGCAACGGCAGCAGCGGCGCGTGAGGTCACGGCGGCGCGTGTGATATACGCGCGGCTTCGGGGCGGCGCGTGGGGCAGCGTGCGGCTTCGGCTCGTGCGTTGCTCCTCGATTCTTCGATCTACGGTCGTCCTCCTCTCGGATTTCACCTCGTATACTTCGATCTACTAAAACGTGGCACTAGACACGAAGTAGTTAGAATTAACGGAAGAAAAAGAAAGGAGAAAAGAATACCGAAATGGATCGGCCAAGGGATGGCCGATTCCGGCGACGGGGCGGCGCCAACGGCGGAGGTGGCCGCGCGGGAGAGAGGGCGAGAGGGAGAGGGGTCGGCCGTTTAGGGTTAGGGTTTGATCTTGTTCTATGTGCAAGGTCTATAAATCATGTATTTATAGTCCCTTGCATAAAACCCTAGCGGGCTTAAGTTGGACTGGGCCCAACAGCTTAAGCTCGTTAGTTCCTTTACTTGCTCGTCTCTCTCAATTCAATGACCGAAAAATTTCAACGATTGCATTTTCGGAATCATTATAACTTCCTCGTCATTACGAGTGCCATCTCTTATTTTCCAACTTTCCAAAAGTGGAAACCCTAGTTCAGTGGACTTTCTAAATTTGGAAACTTCCCGATTTAGAAAGTTCACTAACACGTTCGCCTATTCTTTTCCTTTTTCTTATTCTCATTCATAATTCCAAATTACGAATGTTGGACTCAATCGTATTGACTTCCAATTATGCAAAGATAAACTATTTTATCTCTGACCGTTTATTCAAAGATCTCATGTGCACGAGCAGTGTGACCCTCGATGGTTCAGGTGTAAGCTAGCCGTGGGCCCACAACCCTTTGTGGTCAAAACTCGTCCCCTTCGAGTTACGATTAAGATGAAGCTCGTTTCACCTTAATCACCCAACGAATCAAGATTGGCGTCTAGCAACTACGCGTCATGATTCCCTAGATACAAATGAAGTGCCTGCAAGAACCTTCAGATATAGTTAACGTACAGTACGGTCCCTTCGATACATATGTCCCGATCGAACTAGAGGCATTGGTTCATCGAGACCTCTCTATATGTTCGATGACGGTGCGATCGTTCCAAGTGTTGTAATCGTCA